TGAAAAAACTTTCTGTTTTACTCTTATGGTTCTACTTTTCATAATGGGCAATGAGTCTTTTGTTTCTACATTTGGTCAGACAAGCCCATCTGGATATAATATAACAGCAAAGCTCTTTTTCCTGTTGTGTGTTTTAGGTTTGCATGAACTGACTTTTAGCCATAAAAAGGCATGGTGTATGTATGAACTAGCCAAATCTCCTGGTAATATAAAATGTTAAGGGAAACATCCTTGTGGGCAGCTTTGCCAGTATTACTTATTCCATATGGCTTGACCATTCTGAATCACAATATAGGAATGACCATATCCAACGGAAAAGTGAATGATGTTATTACTTCCATGGGGATGGTAAGTGAAAAGCTGTTCTGCCTTTTCAGAGAAAATTCCCTAAATCTTGAGTGAAATGATAAACGCATGACCTGGTTAGTTGTTTTTTTCTGATTTAATTCTTGCCTGCCTGTTTGCCAGTCAGGTTATCCAGGCATCTGTGCTTTACCATCACTATAGTCGAAGCATAAATGTGTATGTAGTTAATGTGTGTGTGCAGTCCCATAGTTGCAGATGCAAATTATGCAGGTAAATGAATACCCATACTTGCATGCAAATTGTATGGGCTGTATTTTTATACAAGTTCTTATATCTGTAATACATACAGTTTAATGATTAAAGCATTAAACCAAACCTGCAAAGTGCTGCAATACATTCTGGAAGCACCTTTCAGTTTACTAATTCATTGTCTAAGGTGGTCTAGCCAATAATCTCTGGTATGTAGAACAACAGAAATTCTCTAATAAAAATACTTTGCTCCCTTCTGTCAACAACTCCTGAATAAAATTTTGTGTATATTTTATTTCAATTTTAATACACTACTAATAGTACTACTTCTTGATTTTAGAAGTTTTTTGGTAGCCTGTGTATTGTTTTCAGTTTTTGTGTCATGGGTTCACAAGGCCCTTATTTGGCACAGAAAAATATGTTTAAATAATGCAGTGGTAACAAGAACTGGGAAATTAAAGCTATATGATATTTCTGTATAGAATGCAATATTGTGGCTGGATCAAAAAGCTTTGAAAAAAAATAGAGTCTAAATTTGCATGGTAAATGCCAGTATAACCTTAACTACAATGGTGTGTCACTATCTGCCCCTGGAATCAGTTTTTCTTTTATTTTCATGTCATCGGACATCTGGAGATTACACGTCACTATAGCAGTAGCAAATCATTACTGATTTTTTTTCACCTCCAAATAATATTGTTCCCAAGCTCTATATTCCACGCTTGTAGTAACCTACAATTACCACAGCCAATTTGGCTGAACATATATGAACCTGATTTTTTCCCACTGAATGAACAGGCAACATTTTTTCAATGGAGTCATTACAGATTTGAATTTTGACCAACAGGAGTTTTGTCTTTTAGTCATAAGTAGTCCAATCTTACTTAGGTCTGGGAAATCCTGAACTGTCCATTAGGCCCTAGTGTCGTGCACAGAAAATAAACAAGGTTGTAATTGTTTCCACTGCCTATGTACTACATTTTCCATTCAACTTCTTCAGGAACTATTGAATTAGCAAAGGACATACAATAAATTAATTCACACAAAGTAAGTCAATATCAAGATGTAAGCTTGGTTGCCTCAAACTCTAAAACGTCTATTCTGTTCATATGATGCATTTTCCTACTTATCTTTGTCTATTAGTTAATAATGGTAGCAGCATGTTGCTGGGATAGTATCTGCCGCAAAATGTTGCCAACAAATGTTAAAAGAAAAACCAGCAAGTTTGCTGTTCTGGTGAGATATGTGTGGAATCAAGCTCCTGTTGAGGAAGATTAGGATTACATTAGCTCTCAGCAGTTGCCTGGTGATGTTTGCATTACAGAAGCAGCACGTTCCTCTATAAGGTAAATACTCAATTCAGATTATTTGCTACCCTGTCAGAATGAAGAACTACTTCTGAACACTTAATAGGACAGCTCATGTATCTAGTAACTTAAAAATAACTGATATTATGAATATTAATATTAAATAGACAAACTCCAACAGGTAAGAATGGCAAAGATATTCATAGCAACAAACTTGTTTTGAATGAGAACCGGGCAAGACTGAAAAATGCTATCCCTCACTTACAGCTCCTTATACATACTTGACAAATGTAAAGAACATTCAAATAAATAGGGGTTCTTATTGGTGATCGCTGCTCGGACATCTGAATATTCTAATAGCACTTGAGACAACTAACCAGGCCATGCTTTTATCATTTCACTTAAGATTGAGGGAATTTCCCCTGAAAAGGCCGAACAGCTTTTCAATTACCATCCCCATGAAAGTAATTAACATCATTCACTTTTCTGTTAGATATAGGCATTCCTATATTGTGATTCAGAATGGTCAAACCATATGGAATAAGTAATACTGGTACGAGTAGGTCAGATACTGTGGGAGGGAAGTGGCTTTTTGTAAAGAGAGTAAGCCAGGGGTAGGAAAAATATGGCCCACGGGCTGAATCTGGCCCACCAGGCATCCAGCTTGCAGGCAGGCGCCTACCAATTCACTGTATCTGGCCTGGCCCCGGGCTGCCCCTGCTGTGCTTGCATGGGGCTGAGCCCCACTCACTCCAGTGGGGGCAGCACATGCTGAACTCCAACCCTCGCCTATGGGACGGCCCTGACCCTGGCCCCACAGGTAGGGAAGCAGTGGCGGGTGGGGAAAGGGTGGTGGTGGTGGCACGTGGCTGGTGGGGGGAACTAGTGGCAGCAGTGGGCAGGGGGGGAAGTGGCAGGGGAAGGGCAGCAGTGGAGTGGGAGTGGTGGTGGCAGTGGCAGGAGGGCAGGGAGGAATGATGGCAGTGGCAGGTGGGAGCAAAGTGGCAGCTGTGTGGGAGCATGGGGCCCATGCTGATGCCCCAGGGCTGGGGCCGGGGCCATGGCCAAGGCCGGCAGGGATCCAAGGCAGGGCACCAGGAGTGTGAAGCCTGGGTCAGCAGAGTCTGCCTGGCTCCACTGCATGGGGCTTGCACGCAGTTTCCAGGTTCTCCACCCGAGCCGCACGCCTCTTGCGGGAGTCCCGTGCAATGGAGCCAGTGGCCTGACCCCACTCACTGCTACACGCAGATCATGGGGAATGGCGGGGAGCTCCATGTTATTGGAGCCCAGTTGTCAACATTTGAACTGTTCATTGACCAGCTGCCCAACCCTAATTTAATCGGCATCTCTCTGCCTCTGAGTTTGAGCTGTTGTATGCACACATGTGTGCACAGACACCCATACCCACCCACCCACACACACACACACATCCCCACCCCACTCCCCACATAAACCCACAGTCCCCCACAAAACCCATACCCATCCACCCATACTGCCTACACCTACCTACATTCCCCTACAAATACATCCACACACACACCCTTCCCCACACACACATCCACACACACCCAGAGCCCCCCACAAACTCCATACCCACCCATACACCCTCACCCCCTCCAATATACAAGAATAAGACTTCATTTTGAGCTATTATGCAATCACCTCTATATACACGATGCAAACACGCACAAACCAGGACAAAAATATATTTAAAAAAATTAAAATATGTTATTGTAGATGTTTGATTTTTACTGTATAATTTGTTTTTTTTCTTGGTTCCAAGATAGGAAACCCCCTTCCCAAAAGGATTACTTCTGGTCCCAAGATAGCAACTGGGGCAGGAGGGGGCGGGGGAGGGGAGGAGAGCACCTGTCAAGGGACAGGGCTACCCTTGCAACCCTTGACAGCTCACCAGAACTCATTAAGCGGCCCTCCAGCTGATATAATTGCCCACCCCTAGAGTAAGTAATTGATGCATCTTCAGCAAAGCCAAAGAGGTGATTCTTCTGCTTTACTCAGCACTGGTGAGACTGCAGCTGGAGTACTGTGTCCAGTTCTGGGCACTACACTTCAACAAGGACATGGACAAGCTTGAGAGAGTCTAAAGAGCCACCCGTATGATCAGAGTCTTAAAAGGCAAGCCATACGAGGAAAGGCTGAGGGATCTAGGACTCTTCAGCCTGAAGAAAAGCAGGCTGAGAGGGGACCTGGTAGCAGCTTACTGCTATACCAGGGCACCCGAGGGGAAAACTAGGAGTAGGGGCTACAAACTCCTGGAAGACCAATTCAGACTCAACATTAGGAAAAACTTCTTCACAGTCAGGTTGTCCAGACTGTGGAATAAGCTCCCTTCAGAGATGGTGCGATCACCTACCCTGGAAATCTTCAAGAGGAAACTAGACCGTCACCTTGCTGGGTCACCTAATCCCCAGTTATCTTTCCTGCTTGGTGCAGGGGGCTGGATCTGATGATCTTCCAAGGTCCCTTCCGGCCTTACAATCTACGAATCTATGAAAGCCTAGGTTTTGTCTGAATCTTTTTGGAATCACCAGTAAATTCATATATACGGAACCTTATATGTGTATAACCCACTTCTGTAGAGATTACAGGGAAAGGCTTTGGCATCGATGGAGAAAGTTGGGAAAGGCAGTGATTTGAGTTGAGGCATACATCACATCTGGCTCAGGAAATGCTAATGAATGCAGTATTTCATAACCTGAGGTCATTATTATACATAAGATCTTTGACTAGCAAATGGCATAAAAAGCTATGTATCTCTTTGTGAAAATGTGTAAACGTAGCAATGAATGCAAACAGCCTCTTCCTCTTTACTTGCATTCCTACAAAACGACTTGTTTGTCTGTTTTTAAGATTATTGTGTCTAAAATTTTTAAACATATAATCCAGAACCTAATAAACTCCCACATCTTACAGACTGAATACAGCTACTTTTAGTTGTCTTCAAACACTAGTTTCTTCAGATTTAGCATATAAAGTATTACTTTCTTTCACGTTTCCAGTATGGTGTCACTATGTTTCTAACAACAGCATTTGCAATGAGTAAAGTATTGCTTCACATTTGTACTTTACATATCTTCTGAGAACTGTAATACCTACCAGACCTGCAAAAACACTTACCTTGCTTGATAGGCTGCCTGTTGGAGAATGTAAGAGGAGAAACAAGGAATTTGGTTTCAGCTACAGGAACCCAGTGGTGCAGAATTTTAATTGTCCAGACTCCAGGCCGTAGTGGTAAATTCAATGGTGGTTTGTAGTGAGTAAATTCTGCGCTAGATTCTATAAGAATATCATATGTAGCTGCGATGACATTGACTGGATCCACCCAGATCACAGTAACTGTGACATTTGGGCCTTTCCCCCACTTTTGCATGCCAATGGGCTCGTCCATTGGCCCAATAAGTCCTCCAAAGTTCCGAAATACTCTTTCCTTGGCATCCCACTCAGTGCCAATCTGAAATTAAGGACATGATTGTTACTACTGTAGTCTCTGAAAAATAGCATCAGGCCCTCTTGCTCCAAATTCTATCCCACACCTGTCAACAGGACTATTCATGGGTTTACAGTTAAGCACATGTAAAGGTTCTTGTAGGTTACGGCTTAAATTGATGTTATAAAACATAAAGATATACATGTATAGTACCTGCAGCCAGTGTTATTACCAACAAATAGTGACATGTAAAGGCCTATTATGCATATCTACTTGTTACTAAAAGCTTAATTGTGCATTAAGATACCCTGTTTCAGAAATTAAGTTAGGAATGGTAATGAGTGTTTTGATCTGATTATGGATGTTTGAGTAAACTTTTGACCCCATAATGTTTGAATGGAAGAAGCTCTCTCTTTTTGTCATTTGATTTTTGTTTTTACTCTTAAAAAAGAATTAATTTGGAAAACTCTACACTCAAAGGAAAGAAACCCCTGGCTCAGACTGGATTCTCATGCCATTTTGCCTAGCATCCATTTTAATCAAGCATAAAAAGCTGAACACTGACCACCACTACCAGAATCATGCAGTGTAAGCATGAGTCAGCTGCTGTCCGAAATAGAACAAGACTTTCATTGACTTGAACAGAAGTTGGGTTATAGCCATCCTACAGTGAGATGCTGCCCACCTAACAAATCCCAATCACCTTCCTCATGGATGCAGCAGGCTATTTCTGGTAAGCCCTGTTCTTAGTGTCATCATACTGAAGTTTTTAAATTATTATTATTTACTAAGTAACAGTAAAGCAGCTGATTCACAACCTACCATAAATATTTAATAGACCTTTCATTTTCCTAGCAGCTTTCATATTTCAGTGCTCTTTATATGGGTTTTAATGGCTCGCCTGTAACCCATGGGATAATATGAACTTATAAGCCTTTGCAATTAAACACTGTACATTAGAGAGAAACATTTGTAAACAGAGAGCATGAAGGCATATATAATAGTTAGCTTCTGTGATATATTTCCATCCAAACACTGTATATAGCATGAGCTTATCTGTAACCAAGGTAGGTATACATAGACATACACACCACGTGTGTAAGATAAGATGTGCTGCATCTCAGTTGAGAGGAAGAATGGCCTAGTGTTCATCTGGGACATGGGAGAACCAGGTTTGGTTCCTTATACTGCTATAGACTTTCTGCGGGAACTTTCTGTGGGAAAATCACTCTGTAAAATGGGGATACATCACTCTTACCCCATCTTTAAAATGGAATAATAGCACTTCTGTAAGGCACTGGGAGAACAAATATTTGAAAGATTATGCAGTGTTCTAACATTGTGGTTTTAAGGACTAGTGTCTCCATGATGCTGTAGACAATATCTACAAATCAGAATGCCTACAAGAAATCAACTCCTGGATAAAGAAGAGCCAGCTCAAACTAGACCCAGGCAAGACTGAAGTGATGATGTTAAGAAACAGAAAGTGCTCTGAAGAATTAGTAAAGAGATTGCTTCCACTCTCCACTAAAGAAAGTCCTCATTTGTCAGCATGGCATGAAGCATCAGGATGCTATTTAAGTCCTCAGTAACAATGGATGCCAGCCCTGAACTCATGATAAAGGGATCTTGGTCAGGGGGATCTAACAGCCTTCCAGAATGGCAGGACACTTAAGTCTGATAGTCCGTAGGAAAGCTGCAAAAGCTTCCTCTCTGAAAAAGCTTTTTCGTCATGAGAATGACACTCTACCCCAAAAAACCCAACCAAGGGCAAAACAACCCCAACCAATCAAAAGACTACCTCAAGTAGAGATTTTACCCTGGAAGAGGGAGAAGTGTTAGCAATTCTATGAAATCCAGGAGAGACTTATACTGCTACTATGAAAATGCTTAGAAATTATAGGCTGGCATGAAGGGGACACTGGAAAAAATTACAGGAAGAGTGCAGTGTGCTCTAGTGATGTCCAGCTAATGTATATGATTGGGAAACTTTACCTCCATAGTATATATTAGAGTAACACAGGGATTGCCTCAGCCTGAACTGGGCAGTCAGTCTAAAGCAGGGGTGGCCAACCTGTAGCATGGGTGCCACAAGTGGCACAGACAGTTTCTGTGTGTAACACACAACAGATGAGGGAGGAAACAGGGTGCACGGTGTTAGAAAGGGCAGGAAGCAGAAAGCAGAGCAGCAGATCAGATAAAGGAAAAGGATCAGAGTGGCACGTGGAGAGGGTGCAGGGCTAATTTGTGGCATGCCTGCCAAAAAGGTTGGCCTCCACTTGTCTACAAGAATCAGAAAAACATAATCAGCCTCTTGCTGTGCCTCCTAACACATCCCCCTCAGGCCTGGTGGATTTCAGTGAAGAATTTACGTCTTTAAAACTATAACCTTTTATAAGTAATACTGCTTCTAGCAATTTTTAGAACAATTTTTATATCTTCTTCTAAGCACTGCTCTACTGGGGTTCAGAGAACTAATTTTGTCATGGATCCCTAAAATGGGTTTAAAATAGCTTTCGGCTAATATTTATGGCTGGACGAGGTGGGTAGAATCAAAGTCATGGTAGTAGTCATTTGGGAGGGGCTCCACAAGTCACTTGCAGTTTTGATGCTCATGCGTAAGCAGCCCACACACACATACGGGTACAAATTCATACCTCATCATTTTGTATTTTATCATTCTGTAGGGACATATATTTGATATGCCATTATTTTAACATCCATTATTTTTAACTTCCAGAACAGGCAGTGAGTGCTGGGTACCCTTGTAAAGCCAGGAGTCAGCCTTCTTGGCATAAAACTACTGTTTTAATCCTTGTTCAGTCCCAAGATAAAATTTTCTTAAGATAAATTATGCCTTGATTATGGGTTTGTGTCTCATTGCTCACTGCAAACAGGACCATTAGGTTCACACAAAGCACACTAATTGCCTGCCACCTAGTTTATTTTATTTTCGGTGATGAATCACGATTCTTAACAAGGCCAGAAATGAACTTAGTTTTCCAGTGATAGAGTTTAAGCCTTCTGGTACTTTTAATTTAATCAACTTTTTCCCTTTCCAGTGGTATTAATTTCAGGTTTCTGAAGAGATAGCATGAATCCAAATTACTACTAGATAATAAGGACATCTTATACATGCATGTTATGTAAGGCACTTTTTTGGGAGGGAGTTGGGCTGTCTCTTGGTAAGGCTAAGGGCTAGAGTGTATTCTAGGAATTATTCTCTTTCACACTTCATAGAAGAAAAAGTGCTCAGAATCCAGTGTGCAACTGTAATTGTGCCATTATTTTCCCCAAACTTGTGTGACTCAAAGCAGTAGCATTTTTGTATTGTCCACAGGATCACCTTTTGGTCCCTCTGTTGGACTGGTGAAATGTGGTCTTGGACTGTTGCTGAAAACTTGCTGTTCAGGAAGTGGAACATGAAGAGCAAAGAGGGGTAGTGGCAGCCATTAGGATCGTAAAAGCAGCAAGGGCCTAATCGTAACTGTAGACATC